GCAGTGCATTTAGGAATATATCAATTATGCAGTCCATTTTTTTTTTCTGAGGAAGTCTGGCAGGCAAAAACATCGAAAGAATCACTGTTGTTCTCATGTTTTTAACTGTTTGAATTTGAGAGATGTGCTATAAAACCTCCACCATCAATAAAAATGTACACATTAACCAAAAACATGCAAGTGAGAGAGATCAACTTTTAACCAAGGGACTGTAGGGAGTCAAATTATGAAACAGTTACAGAACAGTTTATACCAGGGGTTGCTAAATTTGATCAAGGTTATCTTTTACAGAGCATTCAATTTACTTCCCCAATGTGTTTAAGCACATAGTGCAAAACGTGGGAATGGAGGCATCAATGAAAGTGGATTTACGTCACTGCCAGAATGGTAATATTTAAAGCTTGTTGATTTCATGTAATGCTTAGAAAAGTAATCCTCTGTTGAGGGGCACTTGGGACTGATTTGATTTCCTTCCTTGGGTTCTAACAGTTGTCCTAGATGAGATCAATTATATATTTAACTTCAGAGATATCAATCTTACCTAGTCCTAGCTTCAATCCCAATTTATCTCCTGCAACATAAATTGCAAAATGAAAATTTTGTTAGCTGAAGCAAAGAAGATTGAAGTGGCTTATATATAATTGGCATTCAACAAAAACAAGATAGTGCATAACGATCATTTAAAAACTCATATGTACTTGCGTGTGTGTGTGTGTGTTTGTACCGAATACAAAGTATTTGCAACAGACTGTTTTCTTTTTGGGGGAGTTGTATCCTTGGAAGAAAGGAAATGGATAAATAACGAAGGGATCATGTAAATGTGGCAAGCATCTAATTTGATGTACATCTATTCCGATGTATATACCTTTTTCTCCAACGGAACAGTTAAATTTTCCCTTGTCATCAAGAAGGCATTCTCCTTTTCTAATATAACATCGTTCACATTCTTTGCTTGCTTGCAGTTGAAGGTAGAGCTTAGTAGCCAATGAACGCAATGAAGGGAGACTTGGGGAAGGTTGAATTGTCACTGCACCTGCTGAAGCTGACAGAGAATTGACACCATTTTCATACATGCACACCGATACAACCCGCTTTGAAAAGACTTTGGCATTCAACGCTCTTTTCAAAAGACATATTACTCCGCGTTTGATTTATGAATACCAAATTATTCTAAGAAATAATTTCCCCACAATATCTACAAAAAGAAACAGAAGAGTTTTCTTATCAAATTCTACCCCTCCCTGCTGTAGTCTTCAAATCTATAATCTTCAATCATCTAAGATAAAGGCTTCCACTCGTTTAGTACTATTTATTTTGATTGGGCTACTTCTAAGACTCTATTGGGCTTGGGACTGGTCCTTATACTCGGTCCTGAAGCTGACCAGCTTGCTCATACTCTGATCCAAAGATCAGCATTTGCCACAGCCCGTTATAATATATGTACACCGTTGACTTGGCATTTCATGTTTTTTACATTAAAAACACGAAAGCAAAAATTGAATTATCCTTAAAAAGACGAAAAGAAGCAAAAATCATACCAAAGTTTCTTCTAAAGAAAAGAAGCGAAAAATCATAGTTGTTAGATTAGCAACCCAAAAGGCAGAGAAAATTGGAAGAAGAATTACGAGGGGGGAGAAAAAGGGTGAGAATAGCATTCCTCTTTACATATACATTTCATATTCTAATGGGACTTTGCCCAATTATATTCTAGTCATTGGTCCTATCCTATGAGCAACACCTGACAAATTTCATAATCATACAGTTCTCTGCACGGTCTATTCTATTGATACCAATGTAACAGTAGAAGAATCTGCTACCGGTTCGCAGATTATGACACTTATGCATCCGTTATACTTATAGTTATAATGTCATAAATGAGATATTGTATCATTTTTTATATAGATAGAACTTAAAATCTGCATCAAATTTTACTTTAATTTATTTTTGTTTAGATGTTCAAGATTTGCTTTTATAAGGTTTGATACTCAATGTAGTGTATGGTAGGAATTAGACTACTCTATATACCCAAGAGAGACTGTATGGCGATTTTTCTACTTTTTTTTTTTTTTTTGTTGGTGCAAGATGATTATCTGATGGCAGAATAATCATCTAACAATTCATAATAGTTTCATGTACAGAGAAAGAAAAACAGAGGCAAGAGTGGGGCACAAAAAAAAAGACAAAATACTAACCCTCATCGTACGAACCACAGCGCACAGAAAAAGTCCCCCGTGGGCAGAGACACCTAAAATGGTAGGTTGTGTAATTGAAGCCGCACCTCCCTCCACTGTCTTGGCAGCGGCTGCAGTCACTAGCAAACCAATTCAGCTCAAACCCTCTGCTCAAAACCTTTTGTATTAATCCCACCTCACCATTCTCATACCGTCCTCTAGCATGAGCCACCACCACTTCTTCTCCACACTTGTGACTTCCAAATTTTGGATATTCATCCCGAGGCAGAGCCAGAACTGAAGTATTACTTCTGGTTTTGTTAGTTGCCTGATCAAAGCAACCAACTTTGTACTTTGGACATGACTCAACCACAGAAGAGTTGCAATTGTAGAGCAAAAAAAAGTCAGCTTGGTTTGAAGCCAACTCGAACTGATCATTCGGAAGGGTTAAGTTATGGAGTGATGAAATATCATTGTTACAAGCAGTGCTTTCTAAGTAGCCTGAAAGCAGAGAATTTGAGACAAGAAGAGACTTTCTTTGGTAATCGATGTTGTGGATGGTGTAATTGTTACCAGACAATTGGAGAAGTGGGTAGGCGTCTTCACCATCTCCATGGCAAGAGAGCTGGAAGCCAGGGTAGCCACAGAAGGATTCTTGCTTGCCTTGGATGTAGAATGGATAGCTAATGTTTAGGCGGCCACAACTTATGGGCACACTGCAGTTTTGGTAGTAAAAGCCCAGAGCAAATGAGGCTTCTGTTAGGAGGAGAAACATCAAAATGAGGATGCAGAGGTTTTGATTCATTTGGGATATTGTAAATTATGGCAGAGAGAGAATTATAATAATAATAATAGAAGTAATAGTGTTGCGAGTTGTATTTGAAGGAGGATAGCTTTGACTTGATAATTCCCCAATCGAAGTCTTTGGCTCTGACAGTTGACAGCTTTTCTCAGAAGGCTGCCTCACATATTAGACTCGCAAAACTGAGACCCCTAGAAGGGCAAAACTGAGACCCAACTTTTCCATTCAACATCACAGCAAAAGAAACGGAACTCACACACCTCATAATGAGAGAAACCCACTGGTCATTAAAGGCCATCTTGTACATTATAGCCTGCAAAAAATCCCACGTCATATGCTTTATTCATATTACTCAATTTAAGTCTTTGGCTCTGCTTGCTGCCTACCCCAACATTTTAGAGACAACTTATTACAGTGTTGAATTTAAGCACCACAATGGACAATATGTTAAGAAAGTCTACAACGGAAATTTCTTAACAAAACTTTACCTGCCAACAAAACGGAGGCGTAAATTATACTGCAGGTCATTGGTCAAGAATCAAGATAAGATTTGGACGCGAAG